TTCATACACAGGTGTGATATTGGAGCAAAATGGAATGAAATCACTGAGGGAACAAATGTAGTAATTTACAAGACAATGGATGAGACCTTGGAAAATACCTACTTTTAGGGGGATAGGGCAGAGAGAATTTTGAGTATACTGTAAGCTAGAAGAGGAATTCAATGGTGAATGCCATTTTGGGGGTGGAGTATTGCAGTGTGTATTGAGAAAGATCCACTGGATTTATTTATAAATGAGGGTGTTTTTTAAAATATTATTATGAGAACTCATTCATCAAAGTCTCAAAGTGGTTAAGGAATTACTGGAGGTGGTTAAAGCCACAGAGTGATGGGTTTTAGAAATGTTTAACATGTGAGATCAGATCTGGTAATATGGCAAAGGAAGAATGAGAAATGGGGATGTCACGTATTCTTTTAAAATGTAGTCATAAGGTTAAAAATATGCAGTAATGATGTAAAAGAAAAATGAAAGATGAGACGTTATTGGTTGACTATGTTTTTATTATACACAGAACAGGTCTCATGTTCTTTCCCACTAAGCAACTCTTCTAGTTAGTATAAACTTTAACATCGAGTATATTAAACTCATTATTTCTCCAGATTCTTTATGGTGCTAAGATGTTATGAGCAAATGCATTTTACATGCAAAAGAGCCTGACAAATAATCAGTCCATCTCTTCTGATGACACATTTCATGAATGTCTTGCCTCATAATATGTACTTAATTGCCTCTTTCATCTGTGTGACCAGCAGCTCTGGTCTTGGGGTCAGCTGGACATTCCTACAAGACCCAGTAGACCATAATGGACCGTACTATGCACTACCCACTCTCTGCTCTGTTGAAAAATACCAGATGGAAAACCCAGCATGTCAGTGTCAGGTATATTGTTCCCCGGTGATAGATAGCTCAGGTCTAGTGGAAAGATGACATATAGGTGGGACTGAGCACCACCCTGGCTTAGCTGCTTCATGCTCCACAGGACACAGTGTCTTTTCTAACCGCACCTGGGCATAGCATCCAGGACTCAGCAAAGGGCAAGCCAATTACAAGTCATCAGAGAAGCCCCTATTTACACTTCCCCCTGGGCATAAATAGCCCTGCTAACTGCCCAGATACTCAGTCCTGATGTAGTTCAGCAATAGAAGTCATTTTTACTACAAACAATGTTGTTTAGAAACAGTTGAAATCCCATCTTTATCAGGTTTCCAGGGAGACAGTGCTAGAAGGTTAAGGAGAGGTCATTTTTTATACAGAGAAGGAGAAAGTTTTTGTTAACTCTTTACTCATACTAATTTTTTGACAAATAAATAGAAAACTCTCGCATAATGCTGGCTGTAGGACCTATGCAGTTGACTTTTATTAGAAGCAGTGTTCAATTTTATTGACTATCTTAATATCTGGGTCTATATGAAGTTGTTTTTACATATCAGCAGAGGGCTCATAGTGATTGTGTTTTGCTGGTAGTGTCAGCAAATGTAGTAAATAAAAAATTTTTCTCAATATTGTTCACTTGTCCCAGTTCCTTTAAGAGCATCTTTAAGGTGGAGATAATGATACAGGGAACAGAGATTATTGGCAAGTTGGAATAGGGAAAGTCTAAAAATAAGGCAGTCTGTGAGTGGAATTCCCATTAAACCACCAATATATCAGAATATATGAAAGAGAAGAGACACACACCCCAGAACAGTTTTTATTAAGCTGTTCTTAAAATTGACTGCCATTTGATATTACTCAAAATGAATTGATTTTTATTCTGACTTGCATAGTGTAACAATCCATTGTAAGATTATGTTTGCAAACATAGTGACTTATCAGGAATGTTTCGTGAAAAACTGCAAGTTTATTTCTTACTATTCTTAACCAGTAATAGACCCAAACAAATATACCAGTTTTTCTCATGTACAGTTTTAAACATATGTGCCTACCACTCAGAATGCTTTTGTGTTCTTAGAAATGTAATAATTCAGCTATGTTACTAGATTATTTAAAAAACATTTTTAGTCTTGAGTATATATAAAGTGCTATGCTGCTATTCATTAGACATACAGTAGTGAAAAAGGGAAACACAGTTCCTAGCCTTATAGATTTAAATTCAGTATTGTTTGCTAAAATTAGAAATTAGAGGCTACTAAAACAAAAAGAACTTTTCAGAGTTCAGTAGTTGAAAATCTTAATTATATAAATTTATACAGATGTCAGTGTAAGGTTCAAATTTAAAAATATGCTTTATTCATGTATTTGGAACTTTATATTTTATGTGGTGTTATAATAGGTTTTTAAAATAACTAATTTGAGCAGAACACAGTTAAGAAAGTCATAGTAGAGCCAGAAATGAGCCAGAAATACTAGTCACACAAGCTAATAAAGTTAACGTATCTGTAGCATTTATAAATGGTTTTATTATTAATTTTACTTGATATGACTGACCAACCCTATACGTAAGCATTTTTAAAATACTCATTCTACTGAAAAGGAAATCCAGACTGGAATCATAGGTGATAAATACAAGTTATTTGGGAAGTACGTGATACAGAAGAGATTTTAAGGTTGATGGAATTTTAAAGTGTACTTTCCTACTCATCAAATAAATGGTGTTTGAATAACTCATCTTTGATACCTCTGTCATAAATGATTGGCTCATTTATGAAAAAACAGTAAAATTTTAGATATTTTTCACTAAGTATTTAGGTAGTATGTTAATTACCAAATATTGCAGTGTTCTGATATATATTACTATATATATGTACACATACATTTATACTAGATCCCAACCTTTATTAATCCTAATTATTACACAAAAATTAAAATTATTTTGATATATAAAGTTAATGCCAGTGTGTTTTCAATTTCTCCAGAACAACTTATGGGCACAAACTACAATCAATCAGATATCACTTGTACTTAAAAAAATAAAGTTAACTAAACATTAGAAGAGAAATTTAAGTGACCAGATAAGTAGTTGATACTTATCTACTAAATAGGAGGAGTATAAATTAGCCCTGCCTGATTTAAGCTGTTGACAAATAACTGTGGTAAATTATAAAACAATGAAAATTCAGCATTTAACAGGTTTAGTATTTGGTTTCTATACTGTAACTTCTTTTAATGTAATTTTTAGCCAAGTTTAACACCTACAGTGTTCAGGTATTGCTCATATTGTAGTGTTTAAGCTCAGATTTTTATTTTACCTTTTGTATGTGCTTCTCTGTGGATTGCATGTAGTGCTCAGTAACAAAACTTGCTACCACTGGGTGGCAGTGTTGATTTCTGGGAAACCAAAACAAATGCTATGTTGGTTCATGTTCAGAAAATTCATTTGAATAAGAATTCAAATATGAAAGTCTGTGTTTAGTGAAATAATAGTGAAAATCAAATTTATTAAATCATCCAACTTACTGTCTTTATAACCAATCTAATTTAACTTGATTTTATGATATCTTTTTGGTATATAAATCTAATTTGATATATACTGAAATGCCATATGCGTTAACTGATTATGTAGAATAATATGGAATACAGTTTTTTAAAAATTGGTCATTAGCATTTATTTGTTAATGTTAAGGATAACTTCTTTATAGTAATTTGGTAAGTAAAGGGATATTTAGCATTTAAAATTTGGTAAATAAGCATAAGTAGGTGAATAGTGCCTAAGAACGCTTGTGACATAGCTCAGTTCTTTTGCCCCTTTTTTTTTTTTTTTTTAAAGGGACAAGGTCTCTCTCTGTTACCAAGCTATAGTGCAGTGGCACCATCATAGCTCTTTGCCGCCTCAAATTCTTGGGCTCAAGTAGACCTTCTGCTTCAGCTTCCTGAGTAGTTAGGACTACCAGCCTGGCTAATTTTTTGTGGAGATGGATTTTGCTGTTTTGCCCAGGCTGATCTCCAATACCTGGCCTCAAGTGATCGTCCCACCTTGACCTCCTTTTGACTTTTTAAGGCAAAATGTATCCAGGCCCTTTTTGCCTTTTTAAGACAACATGTATAAACTTGTTAACAGAAAATTGTCTTTTAATAGCTTTTCTTCATTTTCTTTGTATCAGTTATATTTTTCAGTAATCGTTCTAAAAATTTTTCTCTAGGAAGTCATTTTGTTTTCATTTATCTCTGCTTCTCAGAGAATTCCTATACATTTGTTTCACACTTATTTCCCAAGTATTTATTGCCATGTCAGTACATCTTAGCAATCTGTGTTGACTCCATGGTATGAAACTTCAATAAGGATTATATAAAAGAGCATATCTCATGACAGTAGCAATTTGAAATTTATATTTAATTAGATGTGCAAGACAAATCATTCAACTTTTTCTTAAAAGTAATACAATAATAGAATGTAGTGGTTAATTTAAATAAGTTACTTAAGTTTAGCTGTGAAAATCTCCAGGTAAAAGGGGAGATTTTTATTATTATTTCTTACCCTAGTTTTTTTAGTTATAATTTTTTTCTACAGTATAAGAAAGTTGACAATAAGTTATATTGGATTGCCCTTGTCAAGTTAGAATTGTTAACTACTTCTTTAATAAAATTTACCCTGGGCATATATAACTTAACAGTAAATGTAGCATGAAGTCTGGAATCAGGCTTGCTTGCCTTCTGGCTCTTCTCCCTTGGGAGCTGGAATGATGTCCACTTATGTATGCCCCTGCGCTTCTGTTTCCTCATTAAAAAACTGGGAATATAGTATCAACTTATTTTTCTCTCAGAGCACATGAATAAAGGTGTTTGGCAGCAAATAAGCACTTTTTAAAAGATGACTATAATGTGATGAGTATTTGTGTTTCGTAAATATGGCAGTGGAGGGATATAGTAGAAAGGAGACTATTGAGAACGAAAAGTACAAGGGGAGTTATAGCAACCAGTTTTGTGGATGGATTGAACCTATTAACACATTTAACAATTAAATATGGCCTAGTGTTATAGTTTATTATATCATGAATCTTTTAAAATAATAGATATATGTTGAATTAATTATTGATATCCCCTCTGTCTTTCTTTCTCTCTAGGGTACTTACAGAGAGCTACAATGGAAAAGTCCTGGATGTTGTGGACCTTTGTTGAAAGATGGCTAATAGCCTTGGCTTCATGGTCTTGGGCTCTCTGCCGTATTTCTCTTTTACCTTTAATAGTGACTTTTCATCTGTATGGAGGCATTATCTTACTTTTGTTAATATTCATATCAATAGCAGGTATTCTATATAAATTCCAGGATGTATTGCTTTATTTTCCAGAACAACCATCCTCTTCACGCCTTTATGTTCCCATGCCCACTGGTATTCCACATGAAAACATTTTCATCAGAACCAAAGATGGAGTACGCCTGAATCTTATTTTGATACGATACACTGGAGACAATTCACCCTATTCCCCAACTATAATTTATTTTCATGGGAATGCAGGCAACATAGGTCACAGGTTACCAAATGCATTGCTTATGTTGGTTAACCTCAAAGTTAATCTGTTGCTGGTTGATTATCGAGGATATGGAAAAAGTGAAGGAGAAGCAAGTGAAGAAGGACTCTACTTAGATTCTGAAGCTGTGTTAGACTATGTGATGACTAGACCTGACCTTGATAAAACAAAAATTTTTCTTTTTGGCCGTTCCTTGGGAGGAGCAGTGGCTATTCACTTGGCTTCTGAGAATTCACATAGGATTTCAGCCATTATGGTGGAGAACACATTTTTAAGCATACCGCATATGGCCAGCACTTTATTTTCATTCTTTCCAATGCGTTACCTTCCTTTATGGTGCTACAAAAATAAATTTTTGTCCTACAGAAAAATTTCTCAATGCAGAATGCCTTCTCTTTTCATCTCTGGACTCTCTGACCAATTAATTCCACCAGTAATGATGAAGCAACTTTATGAACTCTCCCCATCTCGGACTAAGAGATTAGCCATTTTTCCAGATGGGACTCACAATGATACATGGCAGTGCCAAGGCTATTTCACTGCACTTGAACAGTTCATCAAAGAAGTAATAAAGAGTCATTCTCCTGAAGAAATGGCAAAAACTTCATCTAATGTAACAATTATATAATGTTTCCCTTTTTGATTAATGCATTCTATTTTAATTTGTGCAGAATGATAAAGAATGTTTCTTTTAGAAGCGTGTTGTGTCTGTACTTGTCTGAAGAGTGACATTAAACTTTGGAAGGACTTTAGTGCTCCTTTATGATGATCCGAATAGTTTTTTACATTTGAACTATAATTCTTGGGATTATTTCATACATTTTCATCAAAACTTTCAATGTGGTTATGTATTCATATCTTTAGTTTACTTTTTCAATATAATAGAGATTATTCAAAAGTTTCTTGTTGCTAAACTGGTATAATCTATGTTACGCAGATTAATAGTTGGGTGTGGAGGGAGATATGTAAACAAGAAACATTTGGGTATTATTTCTTAAGTAAATACTGGGACAATCATGGTAAGCAAACTTAGTTCTGTAACTGCATTTTTCAACTTACAGTTAAAATGAAATGCATGATGGTATTTTATTCCTTGAATTATGCAATGCAACATTTTAAATGTAAATAGCACTGGTCATATACTGATGTATATGATTACCTGGGTTATATCTATTTTTATGTAAACTCTTATTTTGCTTTTGGCAAGAAGTGAAATTGAGGCCTGTGTACAGGTTGCCATCAAATTTTGCTCTGGTGAATGCTGAGATCCAGCTTTTTCTTACAAATAAATTGGATCCTGTTTCCAACGTAAATGTACCAAGTTTTTGTTAAATACAGTCTGGATCATGGCATCTAGAAATAGAAATTTAAGATTTTATTGCAGCTTTGATGTGCATATTGGAACTTTTTAACATTTGTAATTTTGGTGGCAAAGAGAATTTTAGCTTCTGTCAGTTTTGTAAGTCTAGAGCTGAACCACTAATAACAGTCATAGTGAAGATTAGAACTGCCTAAGAATTAAATTAGGAAGTCTTATCATTACATGGTGTACATACTATTTTTAAAAAATTGTTACATTTGGTTTGTAAGTCCCATCTGGTTATATCTAACCCACCAAAGGCAAGATACTACTTACTGGGCTTTTTGACAATAAAAATTACAAAAGCAAAAAAAATAAAAATAAAAACCCTATGTTTTTGGCTTAATGTTCCAGTTGCTGTGAAATAGAACTGCTACATCAAAAGACAGTTTTAGGAAGTCTTATTTACTTATTTAAAATTTTTTACATGTAAGAATGTGGGAATGAAGGGATTCTGGGGCTTTTTAACACAGAACCTATTACCATATTTAACAGTTGAATGGCCGTAGGTGGGAAGTAGTATTCAGACATATAAAAGTAAGACAAATCTTACTTAGAAACAAAAGGCCCAATTGAAACGTGCAAGATTTACCTTAGAAATATAAGCTATGAGGCATAATTGTGCCAAGTTGTTTCAAACAGTCCTCAAAAATTAGATGTAATTTAGCTCTGTATATTATTATGTCAGCTTTAACATATAATATTTTGAATATTTTAGCTATCTTTATTGGCTTTCTGCAAGCAACTAGAGAAGAGAAATAATGAGTCAATAATCTTGACCTTAATTTAAAACTCTTTCTGTGGAGATAGGGCTAGAAATACTTCTGCCAAATAGCATTCTTACCATTCACTTTATGCCAGTATTTAGAAAAATTAAATTACAGCAGGTATTTCAAAAGAATAATGTTTTTCTATAAATTATTAATTGTAAAAAGTCTTGCTTTTTAAAATGAGTTGGTAACGCATATCATGGAAGGTGTATTTTGTATGTGTAAATTCACCACAATTAAAGGCTACTTTTCATCTTGTCAGCCCGTGGCTATGTAGAATGACTATTCTAAATATTAATGTATTAAAAAGAAAATATAAAAAAATGTATATTTAGACATGAGATTACATGGCATACCTTATATTGTATCATTCTTTAAAGTTTACAGAGTACCTTATTTTTTCATGTAATTTAGTCTTCTACTCTATGAAGGAATTTATCAACTTTAATTGTAAATATGCAGATGAAGTACAAAAGCTCTTCATCGGTATTTTGCTTTTATGCTGCTTTTTTTTTTTAGATACTCCAGATTTATCAACAATTTTTTTTTCTTTTAAGCCAGGACTTCAAAAGTTGTAGACTATTTGTGTACCATCTCCTACCTTCACTCTCTTCTTAGGGTTAAGGAGCCTTTCTTCAGCAAAGGGCAGAGGCTCTGTTTAGGGTTGTAGTACATATTTCTTTACAAGCTTCTGTATTAGAGACTATTTCCTTTAATAGGAAGGGGGTCCATGAAGCCCTTGGCATCATTTTTTAAAACATCTCTGAATTTGTGGCCAAAGCTCTTGGCCTTAGTAAAACATGACTTTAAGAGTCACTTCATTTTTAACTAATTGCTTGTGGGAATGGAAGTGTTTATATGCATCTTGTTTATTAATTTTTGGTTCATTTGTATAATAGCAGCTGTAGGAGTTTATAAATGAATTTTATTAAGTTATTAAGCTACTATAAATTTGGAAATCCTAGAATGATCTTAAATATGGCAAGATCCAATTCATTTAGAATAAAATCCAAATTCCATTATATTAAAGGGACTTACTGGGGAGTAGGGGAGAACTGATAAATTATAAAAAGGATCCTAAAGAATAGTGCAAAATAAGAGAAGAAATAATTTGTGGCAGGTAAAAGAATCCTAATAGGAAAGAAACAACTAGAAAGGAAAGTGTGACTCAGTTCTTAAATTTAGATATAGGAATAATTAACTGATGAGATTGGTGAAAAGGAAACTTAGTACAAAACAAAACATTTGAATGCAAAGCATTTGTAACAACTGGGGCACCTGACATTGCAACTACCCTATGTTTTTGCAAATACATTTTTGACTGTAAAATTGATGTTTTCATAAAAATGGCATTCTGAATTTTGTTACAGGGCAGCTTAAATTTATGATGAATTATATGCACTTGATTTACACAAATTGCAGCTTCAGAAATATATCACTGGAGTAATAATATTGTAATACTTGTTGAGAATTCATGCCGTCTAATGCTCAGATATTCAGTTCTTATGTTTGTCAGATTCAGCTTGAAGAGAATAGGTTTGGGGAAATTAAAGGCCATATTCAATTTTATATAAATTATCTTGCAAGTTCAGACATCTTAAGAGTAGTTTATATTGTGGAGACCCTTCCCTCATGAGGATAGGGGTAAATGAGGTAGACTTTTAAAAAGGATGTCAGAGAAGTCACTTTTTTATTTAGGTGTCATGATTGAGATATGATATTTCCATTCTCCCTTTTTCCTATTATGTTTGAAAATTATATTTTTAAAAACTGTGAAAGGAGAAATTTGTCATAAATAACCCTTTTGGATTACCCACTTAAATTTATGTACTCGTGTATTACTCAGGTAAAGATGGAAATGACAGAGCACAGACATCTATTTTTTAAATTGATAGAGTAGAAAATGAAATGCACTTCTGTTTATTATTACCATATATGCACATCATCTTAGCTTATCAGAAAGAATACATTCATTTGTATCGTGAAATAAATGCAGTCATCCTAATACTAGTCAACACATTTTTGCCAAATGGCACAAATATACCTCCATTTATATTTTGTATCTTTAAAATGTAGTTTAAAAGTAGGACTATGTATGAGACACTTTTTTACTAAAAGTGCCATATATATGTAACAGGTGAGTTGTGTGTTTAACATAATTTATAACAATTTCTGTCAGTACAGCATATACGGAAAATTTAAGTTGTTTTCAACATATTCAAGTATGTTCCAAATAAAATAAGTTAATCCAGTTTCATAATGTAAATCATATTTTTGTTATTTGCCATATTTTATTTGAAGCAGTAATAAAATTTTATAATGCAAATTTGAATGTTCTAGTACATTGTGTGCTAACTATGGCAAGCAAACATTTACATTTGGTTTTTTTACAATAAATTTCTTTTAAAATATACTTTCTATTTTTCTGTACTGACATGCAATAAATTGGTACATTAAAAGTTTGATTAATGTCATAAGATAGTTTGTATTCAGTCTTTTTTTAAAACATATTTTCATTAATCTAAATTTTATGGTAGGACATTAAAGTTTCCTTAATGGTTAAATAAAATTCCTGAATTTTCTCTGAAATTAATGAATTTTATTTTAGTAGTGGTGTGGATAAAAAAATACAAGTTAGGTTTATATTTACTTCCCCAATAGTATTATCCTCATATATACATTTAATTTAGGCTAATATTAAAACTTTTATATGTGAACCCTGGTGAATGACTAGGCCCCATTGCATTTCTTTAGTTAAATGAGTATAGGAATGAATATATTTTAACTATGTGGCCTTCAGATTTCATAAAGTACTTTTTCAAAAAGTTCTGTCACTTTTTTCCTCGTTTGTATTTTAGTTAATGGTTTTGAATGATTAAATCAGCCTGTAAGTGTCTGTAGTTTGCTTTCCCTAATAAGAAACTTGCATGCTTGGATAGTGTCAGAATGAGTTGGAGAATAGGAAGTGTGTGATGAACCTTAAATGATCCCTTGAAAGTGGAGATGAAAAATTTACTAATTGGAGCCCAAATTAACCATGGGTAGATTTGATGACAAGTAGGACCTCTTATGTACTTCCCTGAAAGATCTCCTGCCTGAATCCCAGGGTGAAGTAGTTTTTAGATCACTATTTCTTATTCTTAAAAGGTAAGTTTTTTCTCGTTCCCCTTTTCACTCTCCAATACTCCCTTTACATTCTGTTACTTCCTAAAAAGCATGAACAGTTAGATCTAGCTAGAGAAAATAGTTCTATCTTAGTAAGGGAAAGAGGAGGAGAAGAAATTTTTTTGACTGTCTCTGAGTATAAAGCCCAGGTGTTGTTGAATGTGTTAATGTCATTGAGTCCTTGCAACAAACTTTGGGAATTGTAGTCTGTTTTTATAAGAAACAGGTTCACAGTGGTTCAGTAAAATGCTCACAGCTACCCAGAGTGGAACCAAGATTTAAATCCAGGTCTCCAATTCTAAATCTAGGACAACCATACATTTGCTCATTTACTGAGTGAAACAATTTGAAAATTTTTATTCCTGTTGAAATGGATTTGAAATGTTGAATTAGAATTACAAGTGGACTCCAAAGAATTGGTTGTGAATTGAACATTAGAAGTATTATACCATAAACTCCATTTTCTTCAAAGTAGTTAAATGTATGTTTCTGCAGGAAAATCTAGACATTAATCTCATAAGCCTTATCCAAAAAATCTTGGAGTCATCTTTATAAAGTGGTTCCTGATACTTCTTAAATTGATTTTGCTGTTTGTTTTTCTAGTTAGATTTATTTTCCCAACCTTTCCACTGCTACCTTGGATTCACTTTATAATAGTTAACATTTTTATTGAGTGCTTGTCATGTTCGAAGTATTCTTCTGATTCCTTTTTTCTCATCATATATTATTAATAAGTAGATAGTCTAGGAACTTGTTTCACTTCCCACTCTTTGACTATTACCCCTGTTCTAACATATAAAAACTATGCCATTCTTTATCCAAGGGTTTTCAATGGCTGCATTTCTCAATAGGTCAAAATCAGACTTGTTGGTCTGTAGGGTTCTTCACCAACTAAACCTTGTTATAAAAGGTTATCTGTTCTTTCATGACTCAAACACATTCCTCTTCTGTACATGTCCTCATATCTGGTGCATTAACCTCTAGATCTAATACACCCCAGCACCACCACCTCTAGACCCCGAGTCCCTGGCCCAAATTTGTGGTAGCTCTAGCAATAGTTTTCTCCCCTCTTGAACACCCATTGTATTCAGCATTTTATAGTTTGATAATTATATTCAGTTATTTATTGCCTACTGGCTTATTTTTTCTTTTGTGTGTCTTACTCCTGCAACAAACCAAGATCTGACAGGAATGTCATATGATTCTTTCCTATCTTCACAGCACCTGGCACAGTGCTAACCACCTTGTAGTGCTAATACATTTTCTGTATAGAGTGTGCTCACTGACTGTAAAGTTAGTCCAGACATTTCTGTCTTTAAGAATAAGAAGAACCAGAATGGCCATTACTCTAATACTTTATATTTCTTAAGGGTTTAGACCTAGAATAGCAACAAACCTGGACATTAAACACACCAAACCAATAATTAAAGTAGAAACCCATGTAAGTTACCCATGTAATTACATCACTCTTAAAACAAAAGGTGCAGTAATTATGGCGGTCATATGCCACTTAGGGATCAAGCTTAAGCTGAGCAGAGGAAAGAGGCAAAGGTGAAAATACACTCAAGAAAGAGGATCAAAGGGCACAGATTGCAGATGTGGAACAGAGATCAGTGCAGATCGGCAGGCCTAGCAGTAACCAGAAGTAACTGGTGGGTAAGACCATACGAACCAGAAAACTACGAGAGCCCACCAGTGGATGGAAAGAAGCCCTTGCCATGGGACATTTAATCTGGGGTGATAGTGACTGTCCCAGTTTTTATTTCTTCCCTTCCTTTTCTGACCCTCTAACAATGGTTCCCTTTTTAAAAATTTATCACCATCATCATTATTATTCTTAAAACAAATGAGATGTCACAGCCACTTTAATTAATGTGACACATTGGCATTTTTCTTGGCCTTTCTTTCCAGGACATATTCCTTGAGATACACGTGAGTTTAAGATTCCTCTATGCAAAGACATCATGCATGTCTCCAAACACGGACAGTCTGGATTAAGAGATGGGGCAGAGGGAAGTGCAAAGTCTCTGGAGACATGTCTGTGTCCCCCCATTGTTCATATGTGCTACCTTAATCCTCAACATGAAGGGATTGGGGGAGGTGGCTTTGGAGAGTAGATTATGAAGGTGGCATCATCATGATGCTATCAGTGCCCTTATTAAAGGAAGTGAGCTATCCTATACAAATAGAAGCTTTGTGCAAACCAGGAAGAGTGCTCTCACTGTACACCAGATCCAATGGCACCTTGATCTTGGACTTTCTATCTTCTAGAAATGTGAGAAATAAATTCTTTTGCTTAAGCATATGTGTTAAGTCTATGGTATTTGTTATAGCAATCCAAGTTGAGTAAGACAGTAAACAACTTTTTCCATTGAAAGAAAAAACATAGTAGAAGCCTATATTTTTTGTCGGGGTATGGAGGGAGATTTAAACTTTCATATGCTAATTTCATCTCATGTTTGGCATATGTATATTGGATGACTTAATTATTTGTGTTTCCTTTTCTGAGGGGAGTACCTAATCTAAAATATAAACCATTTGTGTTCTAATAGCACAATTTATTTCTCTTATTACAATAATTATCATTGCTTAGGGCCTTAAATTCAAGAAAACATATTGAATAATTTATTGCCCTTTAATTCTTATTTATTTGAATAAAATTGGAAGAGATAAAGGGTTGAGGGCAAGTCTACCTGAAGAATTGTTCAAAAGAAAGTTGCTCTAGCAGAGTGTGTTATTATCTCCTGCAAAGAGATGGAAACAAGAAATTCAAGAGAGTAAGAATCCTGAAAGTGAGAAAAGTACAGGCTTAGGTTATAAAGTGGCTCATAAAGTAGACCACTGCTAATATTCTTCAGGATTAAATAGTCCTATAGCATATTGCTGAATTTCTTTTTCTATTGAACCTCTCACTTCTTCCTCTAGAGACATTAGCATTCCCTCAGTCCACCACCCCCCTTCCTTATTCTCTACCCACCCCTTTAGTATATTGTTGTTGTTTTTAACAATCAACACTTACAGAAAACTTGGAAGTACAGTAAAAGAACTTTTCTTTAATCATTTTGAAAGTAAGTTCCCAAGCTAATGCACCATCACCTGGGAATATTTCAGTGTGTATTGACTAAAAGCATTCTTCTGCATGTCTACAATGCAACTATTAAAATGAAGTAATTAATAGATAATTTACCATTGAGTTCTCAGATACCTTTCAAGTCATTGCAATTATCCCAGTAATTTTTTTTTATACCAAAAAGATTCACTTTCAAACCACATGTGGCATTTAGTTGACAAGTCTCTTTAGTTTTTGTGTTGGCTGGATAATGGGTCTAAAGTTAGCAGGTTCTAATCCCTGGAATCTGTTACTTTAGAAGGTAATCATGTTACCTTATAAGGAAAGAGCGTCTTTGCAGATGTGATTAAATTAAGGATCTGAACTTGGGAAGCTTATCCTGGGTTATCTGGGCAGGTTCTTAATCTAGCAGAGGAAGATCTGGTACACACAGAGAGGAGAAGGATATGTGAAGGTGAAGATAGAGGTATAATGAGACTACAGGCAAGAACACCAGGGAACACCAATAGACACCAGAAACTAGAAGAAGCAAGGAAGACTTTTCCAAGAGCCTCTGGAGGGAGTGTGGCTCAGCTGACTGGATTTCAGACTTTTGATTTCCAGAATTGTCAGATAATAGATTTCTGTTGTTTTAATCTTCCAAGGTTGTGGTAATTTATTACAGTTTCCATAGGGAACTAATATGTATTTGGTAAAGGGAAATAGGGTATCACTGTAACAAATACCAAAAACTATGGAAGTAGCTTTGGAATTGGATAGAGAATAGTGGCTGAAAGAATTTTCGGAAGTATACTATTAATGCAGTAAGTCTAGATTGCCTTGAAGAGACTTGGTAGAAATTTGGGCATTAAAGGTGCTTCCAATGAGGACTCAGAAGGAAGCGAGGAGCATGGTAGGAAAAGCCTGTATCATCTTAGCATTTTGCAGTGAGCCTAGGGCTATGGTTGGTTACTCCAGTAGCATTACATGAATCCTTTAGTTCGAATGTCACTGGACTCTCTGCCAAAGGTGCTGTGCTTCTCTGGTTAACAAAAGAAAGACAAGCTGAATATTAGATTAGATTAGCATTAGCTTATACGTGACAAGAAGTATACTTCACAAGCCAGAAGGACTCTGAAATTAAAAATCCTGCAATATAATCTCTATTGTTTCATGCAAAATTAGAAATTTAAATAGAATATGTGGTGAGGGAACCTGTCTTAGTCCATTTTGTGTTGATATAAAGGAATACTTGAGAC